ATTTAAAAAACACTGTGGTGTGAAAACTATGGATAAAACAGGCAAGTATTCCAAATATTTAAAACAGTAAAACTAATTTTAAAAAAGCATTGATACAGACTGATATAAGATGCTTATTTCATGATATTGTAACATTGTTCAGCCTTACCATAATTAGACTATTTCTGTGTTTAAAATCCATTTTAATTACTTATTATTTAGGATTATTTTCTACAAAATTGAGTTTGATTAGTTTGAATTTAATTACTGAAATGAAATGTTATCATTAAAGAAATCTATATGAGTTATAACAACATTTAATTTCCCTTTGGGGTCAGTAAAGTTGAATTTATATCATTTGAAGGCAAACTTTTACCAAGTTTTTTTTTTTTTTTTGTCCAGTTTCTAGTGAAAATATCTTTGTACACTTAAAATAAGACAAAACTGATAAGCAACTTTTGAGCAAGATATATAAGCTTGTTTAAGTAAATAATTCCTTAATATAAATTAAAACATCTACTAGTTCCACTGGTGGAATATTTTATTTATAATATGAAATGTTATGTGAAATAATCTGATGATGTAAGGAATTAAACAAATAGATCAGTCAGTCTTTAAACAGAAAAATAAAACAGATTTAAAGCTCTGACATCTCTATATTTCCTCCTTCCGTAGCACAGAAGGCTCCCATATGTGAGCATTTATGAAACCTAGCTTGGTAAATCTGGCTAATTGTTGCTAATATTCTCCATCAAAATGAGAAAATTGACACTTGGTGTGTTCCATAATTAAAAAAAATATATATATAAATTGAGCTTAAAGACATCAAGGAAATGTCCGGTTATTTTCTCTGTCTTTCTATCATACTGTTAAGCTGACAGCTCCCTCATTCAACTTGCATCAGCCTGTAAAGAGCCGGTGTTCAGACCTACTTCTTCCCCTTTCAAACACGCCGTGTTCGAAAGGTTCCGGTCATCACGAGTCCGCGCAGTCAAGAAATTTAGTCTAATTCCTATAAATGTTATGAAGAGAATACAAAATATCCGTGCTATTTCTTCCATAGCAAAAAAATATGCACCTACAAGCAAAAATTACCGTATCAAAATGTGATATTTTCATTGATTTTTAGCAAACATGTCTGGGGAAAAATTTCCACACATAAAGCAAAAAAACTGGTTTGGTTGTTATGAGTGAGAAAATATTTGATCATCAACTACAACATAAAATGAAACGTGGTTTTAAAACATTTATCTTCCAATTAAAAAAAAAAATCTGATCAGTGTGGCGTGCATTTGTACTTGGCTTCACCCATCTCATTAAATCTGACTCCGGCTTTTCAAGCAAGTACTGAAGTAAAAAAAAAAAAAAAAAAAACTTAAAATGGTTGAACTTTATTTATTTTGGAGCATCATAGTTAGGTGGGGTGACAACAAATTACAACTTCCCTGAACATTGCAAGATTTGCGAAATTCGTGTATTCGTATACTTCAACTGTTGCATCTATCCTTAAGGAAATCTAATAAAATGTAGAAACAGTAAGTACTGGATTCATTATGAAAGGTTTATAGGAACTGTTTGATGTAGAAAAATCAGGCATATTTAAAATAAAATTCCTCAGTTACATTTATTGTTGACTCTATAGCGCCCTCCAGATGTCTTTTTTCACCTCATTCACCATCCTGGTGTAAGGACATGCTCAGGTTCTCAACTGTTCATATTTGCAGGTTTATCTCATGATCCCTTGGCGTTAGGGTTGCCACCTTTCAGAAATCAAAATAAGGGACGCCCACCACCCTACTTTCATGGGGTGGGATGGCCACTGCAGCTATAGACAATATTTATGGCAGTGTTTTTTGTTTTTAAAAAGTGATCCAGATGGGGTGCTGTGGTGGCGCAGGCACAAAGCACAACCCACATATTGAGGCCTTCGTCATCGTGGTTGACGCGGTTGATAGCAGCTCACCGTGGCTGCATAGTGTCCATCTCTAGGCAACCACAAGAGCGTCGGTCCATAGCGTTCTCCTTCCATTTTATCGATATTGCCACTAGGCTACAGTTTACATGAGACTGGAAATCCCAAGTAATAGGAGTTTAAAAGGAGGAACAGAACCAAGTCAATTTCTTAAGAAGCCAAGCCTCCTTTATTGTCTGATGAAAGATATTTCGAAAGTTCTTTCTATTGTTTCTAAAGTTTCTATCTTTATGTTAGTCCCAGAGCATGAGATTAAAGAACTCATAAAAAGTGGCGGCTTGGGTCTTATCACTAATCTAGTAGAGCTGATAAAAGAAAATATATTCGCAAAAAATGGATTGTAATAAGAAGTTGAACAAGAGGTCGTTGTAATGAGTAATTATTGTGTTTTACCAGGATTTAACTCTGAATCATAAAGGTACTTCATCTTCAGTTTAAATGTTTTCTGTGAAATATTACTTTTCCAACTATTTTTATCTTCGTTTTTTTTTTTTTTTTGCAGAGGCTTCATATATCTCGGAGGCAGATCCTACATGCTGGAACCGTGTGCTAACTGCTCTGATGGGATTCACTGGATCTACTCAGCGGAACACCTAAGCTTTGTTCCTGGCACCTGTGGTCATGGTTTTAACATTTCCCACCATGTTCTGCATACAGACAGCAGTCCATTCAAGGCATTCAGCACAAGAGTAAGGACATTTTTTCTTCTTTCCTTATAAACTACAATGCAGAGTACAATGATGTCAGAGTGTGGGACAGATGTGGTTCTGACCTAAGCGTTCTAACTTCTGGTTGACACCAGGAACATGGACCCATTAAAAGGACATTTTGCTTTTTAGTTGTGGAGCTGTCATCAGCAATCTGTCTCACCTGCAACAGAGAGAAGTCAGTCGTCTCGGATTAAGGAAGCATAAAGTAGAACATTTTTACAGGAGAGTTAAGCTAGTGTCAGAGTGGAGGCAGTTACAAATCCAATATCTGTCAATTAAAACAGCTACAACTTTATCCATCCATCCATCCATCCATCCATCCATCCATCCATTTTATTTACACCCTTGTCCCTTAGTGGGGTCGGGAGGGGTGCTGGTGCCTATCTCCAGCTAATGTTCCGGGTGAGAGGCCAGCTACAACTTCAAGAATCATTTTTCAGAATTTATTTAATTTTTTTTTTCGGTTGATTACATTCGTGAGTTCTTCTCAGGGGTCCTTTGGAGCCCAACTCAATGTGCTGCCTGTCATTTGTATAAGTAAACATAACTGTGTGCAGGTGTTCTGCTAAATGCATTATATCTCTATTTAAATGATGTAGTTTTAGAAGCAGATCTTAAAGTGGACTGAGTTTTCAGTGAAAAGACCATGTGCTCTCTGATAGCAGGTCAGCACAACAAACACATGAATCCCCCCCACCCCCGTAATTCAGTTAAAAAAACACAAACATCCACAATGATCATGTTTATAACTCAAAAAACAGACTTCAAACGTTAAACGAAGAAACATTTGTTTCAGGAAAGTGTTATAAAATATTTCTCTTAGCCATATGGAGTCTTCTAATGAGGCAACTGTGTGCTTTTTAATTTTCTTTCTTTTGTCACTGGACCTGGTGGGATACTATTGAGAGTCAATCTCTCTATATTTTCAAGGTGGAATAATGCCAGTACGTTTTCAACCAAACTATGACTCTATTGTTGCCATGTTTATTGTACATTGCTAAAACCATATGAATTGTAGATGAAGCCTTACAACAGTTGGATATTTGGTTTTAATATTATTTGTATTTTAATGCTGTTCGTTGATGAATAGGGTTTATATTTTGTTTCCAAAGTAAATTAGCCTGAACCCTTTAAAGTTTGTGTTAAAAAATAAAACAAACAAACAAAAAAAAAAACTTAATCCTCCCGGTGCTTGTAGTCATGCTTTTAACAGGATCCAATCAAGTTGCCACGGTGGAAATTGTCCTCTGAAGTGCTAGGTCCTCTTTACTGCTTGCAGCTATATTGACACTATCTACCATTTTCACAAATTATTGTACTGCACTGCATTGCTCAGTAAGAGCTTTAACACTATGAAAACAAGGTTTCTATATTCCATTTTATTTGCTTAGCCAATGAGTGCTCAGCGCCGTTTCTTATGTTTTTCCTACACAGGATCACATTAGGCTTTTTGGTCTTTACCATATTTGAATAACATCACCTCCTAAACCTTTCGAAAAATTATCTTTTGCAATGTACATATAGGTAAGTGGGCTGCTATATGTTTTAAAGGCTGCTAGCTGAATTATTAGTAATTACTCTTTCTATCTAATGCATCCATTGGTATTGTAGAATGCATGGAGTCTTGCTGTAAACGGCACAATTTGTTCTTAAAATGAGACTAGACCAAAGGCTCGTCACGTAAAATATGTATATATATGTCTCACCTAATTTGCACTCCCTACGCTCAACCCTACACCACCCCTGTAAACATGGCTATAAATCATAGCGGCTATGGCTCTATGAAATCTCTGACCTCAGAGGGAGTGTGTCTTTGGAAATGATGAATCCCGATAAGTGGAAAATGCAGAGTCCACTGATTCCTTATCTTAGTTTTAAAGAAAAGTGAATGTGGTGAAACGTCCCAGGTTTATCAGATCACTACAGACGGCGACAAGAGATGTTAGAGATTCAACAAAGGCTCAAGGACTTCTGGGGAGGTGAAGCAAACATACAATGCCTTGGCAGTGTCATATGACTCATTTAACTTTTGCACATAATTGTGACGGATACTTTTTTGTCCATTTCTTTGCTAATAAAATCTGAAAAGTGCAGCATATGTTTGCCAGTATTTTGTATAACTGGCCTTTGCTGCAATAACACCTGGACATGTAGAGTATACAGTTTTATTCTTTTATCGGAATGCAAACCATTAGATATGATCACTAAAAATATGCTTAGTACCTTTGGCCTGATGAAAGGGGAACCTTTATCCCACTCTCAAGTCTTTTCAGCCTCTGAATTAATTATAATTTTTTTAAGGATTGCCCTGTATTTAGCTCCATCCATCAACACCTGGTTAGATGATACCAGAGTTTGCCGTCTCCCACTCATGACTTGCGGAAAATTTTATAAGAAATAGAAACGAAAGTAACTTTTTGTCATATGCAAAGAAGAAACGGGGCAATGAAATTTACACGAGCTCCATTCAACCGTTTAAAATGTCACATAAATAAAAAATAAAAGCATTAAAAACTACAAAACACTTTAAATCACATGGAGTTTAAAAGCTTGATAGCCTGAGGTTAAAAACTGTTATTTTGTTTTTTTTGTTTCCCCCCCCCGTCTGTTAGTCCTTCCTTTCACACTTCTGTAATGTCTGCCAGAAGGCAGGATTGAGAATCAGGAGTGCTGTGGGTGAGTTTGGTCTCTGATGATGTTTTTAGCTCTCTTTATGACCCTGGCGATGTAGATGTCCTGCAGTGAGGGCAGAGAAGTTCCACAGATGAATTGTGCAATTTTAACAACACACTGGAGAGCTTTCCCGTCCTGAACGGAGCCGTTCCCAAGCCACACTATGACAGAATTTGCCAGGATGCTCTCCACTGTAGACCTATAAAATACTTTGCGAGGAGTTTGGGTGACAGTCCAAATTTCCTCAGTTTCCTCAAGAAGAGAAGTCTTTGTTGAGTCTTCCTGGTGACATGCTGTGTGCTGTGGGACCAGGTGAGATCGTCACTGATGTAAGTGCAGCGGGATTTTTCTTGAATCGATTATCATCTTTTTTCCATCTTTTCTGCACTTAGAGAGAGAGCGTTTTCAAAGGAGCCGGGAAGAGAACCGAGTCACCTCCTCCCTGTATGCTGCCTCCTGACCATCAGTAATTACAATTTGTGCTCATCCAGGTGTTGAACTGGATGAGTCGTAGGTGAAGGGTAGGAAAAGAAGAGGACTCGGTACGCAGCCTTGGTGGATCCCAGACTGTTTTTGTGTCTGATGCCCTGGTACCAATTCTCACAGTCTGGTATCTGCCTGATACCAGGAAATCCAGGATCCAGTGGCAGAAGGAGGTTGTGGAGCTTTACCAGCCTGTCTGTTGAGGATGACTGTGTTAAATATGGAGCTAGTGCAATGGGGCATAGTTGTTCTTGTTCTCGAGGTGCCCCCAGCCGAGACATGGATCTCTGCAGCTCCTTTCAGAGTAAAGAGGGCTGAATGCTGTATAATAATATGCACTACTTTTTTAATTGAAAATATGTTTAGTTTATGGTTTTAACACGCTGAAATGTGCCAAAAATGTAAGGGTAATTTATGTTTTGGCAAGGCATTATATTTCTGATAGATTAAAAAAAAAAAAAAAAACATGATTTAAAGGGGAGTTTTATTTTAGCTGTTATTTTATTAAGCATACATTGCTGTCAGTGTGAGATATGGTCTAATTTTCTAAGTATGAGCTAATAGATCATCTGCTTTCCCAATATTATATCAACGTTGGGGACTTTTCTATTGTTTATTGTGCAGCTTGAATTCTGCTGATGATAATACTGCTGGCTCTCGCTGCATGTATTGTCTTTTGTCGTAAGAGGGCTGCAAAATTTAAGCGTGAGAGAACAGATCTTGACAACAGCATAAAGGGTGCCTCGCAGAGACAGAGTGGGAATAGGAACAAAAGAGCAGGAAACATGGCTCACATGGATGATTTATGTCCTTGTGAAGAATCTGGTTTGATTCTCCTGCATAAGAGGGTTTTTTTTAGCTTAATTGTTTGTTTTTGGCTGTTTGAATGTTAAAAATAATAGAATGTTTTAGATTATGGTGGGATTTAAAAAAATAATTAAAAAGGGAAAACAAATTATTTTTTCTAAATTAAAGACATAAGCAATGACCTAAAGAAAAAAGTGAAATAAAGGTGTGGGTGTAGAAAAGAGAAGATGCACTAAAAGGTCGGAGCTTTAAGTAGTTTGTTGCTCTTGCTGGCAGGCATGTGAGCTGACATGTACAGGTTGCATGAGGAGACTGATGTGTGAGCTGCTGTGTTAAGAGGATGCAGTGTGTTCTGCTTAAGGGTGTTAAGATAAGAGGGTGGGTTTCTGGAGTGTTCCTGCGGAATCAGATAGACTCGGGAAGGGTTCAGAGATATGATGCCTCGCTGACAGGCCCTGCACTTCAGTAGCACAACTTCATGGGGATCTCTGTTGTGGCAAGCTGAAAATCTCATCTGCCCAAGATGTCAATAAAAACCTGACAATTTCTGTGGTTAAGCAAGACAATAATATATAAGTGAGAATTGTGGAGCAATCATTCTAAGAAAAGAAATGTACCCCTTGTTGAGAGGTGAAATCTTATTCAAGGATTTTGAATCTGAGCCGCTTTCTCATGCTAATTTTTACCCCTCAGATAATAGCATAAATTATTCTTATTATTATCCATCCATTGTCTATATCCTTGCAGAGTCAAAAGGGGGGAGCTGGTGCCTATCTCCAGGGATCACTAGGCGAGGGGCTTGGTACACCCTGGATAAATCTGTGCACGAGACTGCACCGATTTATTGGCTCAGATTTCCTTGATATTTGGATTGGTGATTGGCCAGAACTTGCATGCAAGCCCATCTTATCCCCTGATCTTATCTGCCTCAGGAAAGGTCTAAAAATCAACCACTGTCCTCTTCTAATATACCGTGAGAGAAGTTTGACCGACACACTGGCCCACCAGGTCATGTCTGCATGTTTGCAGTTAATAGTCACCCATCTGTTACCAACTCAGCGACTTCCTTGCTGTATTTAGCAACATTTCAGCCAAAAAAAATTTGTATCGGCCAAAATCGGAGTTGGCAGGTCAGGCTTTTTTAAAGACTGGTAATCTGCGATCGCCCAGAAAACTGCAATTGGTGCACCCCTAGTCATCACCAGTCAATCAGAAGGATGTTATTATTAATATTATTGTTTGTGACAACTTCATGAAGACAATATAGCAAGTAAGGAAAAAAAGTCTGGCTGGAGAAAGCTGCGTGTCTGCTGCGAAACCTTGATCCCTGATACTGTGGCATACATGTAGCACCAGTTGGAAAGGGTGATTCATGCTGTGCCAGTGTTGACTCTCTGTTGGTTACCATGGAGAGTAATGCATGTTTTGTGGAGACACATTTCTGACCCAAGAGTCAGACTAGTGTGTTTGGTCTTCTGCTGCTTGTTTGTCCAGATGTGAATGGCACTGCTCCTCCGGATCGAAAGGGAAAAAGTTACATGAAAATTCTTTATAAAAAAAAAAAACAACAAAAAAACAATCTCTATGTACTGTACATGTAAATTTAAAAAGTGGATACAAATGCATGCCACACTATTCAAATTTTTTTAATGAAATATTTGAAAAAATAGGTATCCTGTCCTTCCAATAATCCTACTTGGGGTTCCCCATAAAATACCTTGAATTTTGAGGTTACACCATGTCAAAGGATACAAAATAATTTAGCAAGAGGCTGTAGGTAAAAACGTACAAAGTGAAAAGTGTTATCAAACGTATACTTTAAATTCACGACTTTTTAAATGTTTTATTTCCTTTTATCACAATGTTCATGTGTGTGTCTCTTTCCCAATTTCCCACTAGACTCTTGGTTATCGCCTTGGTGTGCTTTCAGAGCATACTTGCCCATCCTGGCTTATCTATGGAGGAGGCAGATAAGAGCAAAGAGCTGCCATGCCAGAAAGGACACAGAAGCTTGGGTTGACAGAGTGCCACAACAGGAAAACAGAACCCTTAGCCAGCAACATAGTATGGAATCTGCAAGTGTGCGAGAAGAAAAAAACAAGCTCATGCGTGTTTGAGATAGCAAAAAAAAACAAAAAAAAAAAACGACTGCACCAATAGTGAGCTTGGACCCTGCACGGCAAGACCAGACTATAGATATTCTGCTTGGGTGGGAGCTGTCTTGTTACCTGCACAGAACACACCAAAAGGAGAAAACAAAAAATGGAAAAGAAAACTTGATGATATTTGAAACGCTTCATATTGAAGCTCTACTGCATGTACTTTTGTTGTAACAAACATCATTTGCTGGGAATCTCGTACCGTCTTTGGAATTTGAAAAGAAAAAAAAAGGGGCTGCAAGAGTCACAATTTGTGCTAACAGTGCAGCCAGCATTGTCTGAAGTGATTTATTAGTTAATAAGCTAGTTCCTGTACTGTGTTATCAGAGGATGGAGTGACCTTAGCAGTTCTTACTGGGTTACACAGTAATGGATAACTGATAGCTTTGTCCCGATTCTCATTTAGGCTGTGTTTAGTGTTGAGTTGTGGAGCAGTGATATAGAAGAGGTCACTTGGTAAATTTAGGCTTTTTACTTTTTCTACTTTGGTATTACCCATATAGTGACCTGAGGCAGTGAGCTGTTCTGTGTGGAAGTTTGAAAACCCTTTAGCGAAACCTGCAGAGATGCAGAAATGGCTCGAAATTTTATGGAGATAAAAAAAAGAAAAAAAGAAAAAGGTTAATGTACATTTTATGAAATAATTCTTTACACCAGAAAAACAGTGGGTCAGATTGTCTTGCAGTGTCCTGTCAGATTTGCTTTACATAATAAAGTGATGTCATGATGGGTCAAATTCACTTCCAGCAACAACGTATCCACAAGGCAAATGACACTACCTGTTTTAATTTCATCATAATTAACAGAACTTGTAAAAAAGTAAAAAATAAAATAATTGTCTGTATTGCATATATTTTTGTAATTTTTATCTGTAAGAACACTGTTGATATTTTTGCTTTGGTTAGATGTCGGATGCCTTTTTATGACAGAAAATGCGTCCAAAAATTAGCTTGATGATTAACCATAAGAAAAAAATATATATTTAACTCAGTCTCTTTTTAGAATTGATAGGATTGAAACTTCCAATTTAAAGAGAAAGGGGGGGAAAAAAATCTTACATGAGTGAGCACGGTTGGCGTCCGCCTAATCACGGTTTCATATTTGTGAATTTATCTGTTGAAGGACTCTCCTGTAGAACATTATTCCGAAATATTGGTGGAAAACTCGCTTATCCGTGTACTTTTTCATAGACATTTGAAAGAAAGCTCATCTTGGGAAGCTGACAGACTCCCAATAGTACCTGACAAGATTACAGATCTTCAAATGATCTTTCAAAGCCTCATTTTAATGGATCACACAAACCTAGCTCTTTACCCAGCGGTGTGTATACTTTTATACCCACTGCGTATGACACATAATTGTACTCCTCTCTGCTGCCGTCTCGTTGCTTCGAACAACCCGCCCACTCGTTTTCCATTTGCTCTTTCAGCATAAACGGCACCTCCAGACGACGACCAAATACGTGGAGCTCATCATTGTAGCTGACAACAGAGAGGTAAGAAGAGGTCACACACTCCTCACCTTTGTCTCTATCCCACAGGAAACGATCTCTGAGGTCATATGCTAAGCTGCCGCTTCCCACGAGGCGTAGGGCGACACAGCCCTGGCACGGCCTCGCTGTCACCTCTGATGTGTCACTGACTCATCCGTTTCCTTCTCCGGGTCCCTCCACATCCTCCTGCATACATCACAGGACTGCTTGACTCACAAATGAAGGCCTGATATGCTCTCTGAATAAGCCTAAATCCTTGACTTAGCATCTCAAAGAGAGGAAAGCGTTCCCCATTTACACGAGACTTATAGGTCAACATCGCGTGATTCGGAGCATCAGAATAAATGCTGTACATAAAAGGAGGTTGCTAAGGTTATCTTTATTTTGTGAGCAGAGCTAACAAGAGCTCCTTTAGGAGCTACGGTGACGAGTGCTGCAGAAGATGGAGCTGAATTCAAATGCCAGGGCAGAGACGCGTAGCGCTCAGCGGCGAAATGTTCTGCCATTTTTCCTCCCCATTTTATTCCGTCTGCCTTTGTCGTCCAGTTTCAGAAACAAGGCAAAGACATCGACAAGGTCAAACAGAGGCTGGCTGAGATCGCCAATTACGTGGACAAGGTAACAATCGTGATTTATCAGAAATCGCATCACGTTGAGTTCAGAGTGTCTGACCCGTGAGCCGAGGCCGAGTGGATTGTAATTCAAATGAATGTAAAAGCTTTTAATGTTAACATTGCAGTAACTTGTTCAGTTTCAATTCGGTGAAACTGGGCAGATTGGTTGCTTACGCTACATATTCTACAATTTATGAAGAAATGAGAGCGACTGAAAGATCTGAGGCAGAGTACGGGTCTGTAACCTGGTCCTCTCTCTGAACTGTCAGTTCTACAGAGCTTTGAATATCCGAGTTGCACTGGTTGGACTGGAGGTATGGAGTGACGTGGACAAGTGTCCCATTACGCAGGACCCCTTCACCACTCTGCACGAGTTTCTGGACTGGAGGAAGGTCAAACTGCTGCCTCAGAAGCCTCATGACAACGCCCAGCTGATCAGGTAGTGTGTGAAGGAGTAAACCGGGATTTTTCCATCATTCCTAATTTAAAGCCTAGAATAAAAGTAAAGGGTCGTTTTACGATTGCAGTGGTGCTGATCGCCCTGTTTTGAAAGGCTTTGATTTGTCATGTAGGCATTCTCTTCTCTCTGTTTCAGTGGGGTGTATTTCCAGGGCACTACTATCGGCATGGCGCCCATCATGAGCATGTGCACGGCAGAGCAGTCGGGAGGAATTGTCATGGTATGTATGCACCGCTAAACATTTTATTATCCACCTTCCGTTTCCTGATCTATGACATTTGCCTTGTTTGTGGTCCCCTGTCTCATCTGTATTATTTGAGGGAACAATTCTGCATCTTATCTGTTGTCGTGTCAATGCTCTTGTTGTGGGGGAAAATGTTACTATCGTGCGTTTTTAACGACGATTTCCAAAGGGAGATGACGCATGGTGTCGGTGATAAATCTGCACAAATCGATTATTTGGGAAATATTTGACTTTTTAACGAGGCGCAATAACGGAGTGAACTGGGGCTGCAGCGTGCACACCCTGAATGAAAACACAGGGGGTATATAGGACGTAAATGATGAGCCATTACAATTCTGCAATTCTATGCGGCGTGCTGGAGTCATGCTGCATTAGCACAAATCATGCTGTTATTTTACCCTCAGTGTCTCTGCCTGGGGTTCATGAGGCTGGACGGCCGGTTAATGGCCTGTCCCCACCTTTATCCTCCCAGATGGTAAAGTTGGGTCTTGGTCATTAAAATAAAACTGTACGTTCAGGTTCCAGACAAAAGGGATTAACTGCTGACTCGCTTGTTGGGACAAATCACTGCCTAGTTCTCTCGAGTTGTGTCCCTTTATCTACAGAGTAGGCTACTTTTAAACTCATTTTCTCCACATTAGCTGGAAATCTCATTACCATTCTTTTTGGCAGTTAAATCTGAACCAGCCCTTCTTTTACATCTGGAATCTTCACGTGCTGACTTGTAATTGTTCCGTTGATTTAATTGGTGTGGTGAAATGTGTCTCAGCCTTACTTCGTAATGTGCTCCTCTGAGTTCTGCAGCTTCATTTGTTGTGCGTGTTTTTTTTTTTTCCTTTTTTTTTTCCAGGATGCCGAGGCGAGGGTTTTTTTTTTTTTTTTTTTTTTTTTTTTTGCTCTGTCGTTTCATTAGTCCAGGCTGCCCAGTTGTATTGTAGTGCTGACAGTTGATTTTAGTTCCTTTCAAAAGCCCCCAGCAGAGCGGCTCGTCGGTCTGAGCTCGACTCGCGCAGCACTGCTAAATAATGCACGGTGTCAGAAGCTTCCAGAGGCAAGGTGCTCTGACACACAGCTCTGCCTTCATGAAGAGCCGATAGCTCCCACACCTGCATTATTCATCCGGCCTCTTTCATGTGTTCATGTTTTACACACCTTGCAGGAAACCTTCAGCAAGCTGTGTATTTTCGTCTTCCGTAACTTCGACGGCTTTAAATTCCAGTTTAGCAGAGAGTTGCAACGCTTTGGAAAAAGAAAAAAATGCTTATTCTTAAAGATTTTTTTCAAATAATTTTCAATGCTAACACCACAAAGATATCATATGATACTTACTAATACTTAACTAACAACTCTGGATAGGAGCACGTATTTGGCATACTTTAGTTTAGATCAGCATTAGATTCTTTTTCTCCTTTTGCTCTTTCCTTTGGTTTATTATTTTGTTTGTATTTCCTTTTAAGTCCTGTAAAGTCCTTTGTGTTGCCTTGTTCCTGAAAATGTGCTTTGTAAATAAAATCACCTTTACCTTTATACCTTTAATAACTAGCTAACTTTAAAAGCTACTTTGGATTTTATTTGTATAAATATAAATGCAGATTTCTATTCTTTAGCAAAATGGCATTTATTCTTTTCCTTCTACTTAATGATTATGCAGTAGTTTGTGTGGGTAGGTCGTACAAAATCTGCCAAAAAGAAAAAAATAAAATAAAAGTTTGTGGTTGTAATATGAATAAATGGAAAAATGTACTGACGTTATATCTGTGGTTTTCAGTGTTTTTGTCAGTTTTTTTTTTTTTATCTCTTCAGTTGCAATTTTTTCTCATAGGAAACGTTTATTTGCTAACATCTACCAGAACAGCTGTCTCTGTCAGAATATGTTGAGCGAGCTGAAAGTGACAGCACACAGTCTGCCTACATTCGCTTCTTTTTCTTTTTTCAGCAGCACAATATAGCGGAAATGCTCTGCTAAACACAGATCTGGTTGCTTAATTTGGACAATATCCTTTAAACTGCACTTGCCTCGAGTTATTATTTCTTCAGCAAATCCTATAGGGAGGAACAATTGGGTTTGCATTGAATTTTTTATTATGTTATCAAAATCAAGTATTGTCTCTGCTTCGATACTGCAATCTTAAACAAATTTAATTATTGAATTAGCCCCCGAGGTTTAAAAAGAGGTCAGACTCTTGCAAAAATAAATAAAAATTGGTGGAGAAAAAAAAAAAAAAAGTTAAAGTTCTTTAATCAATTTTTAGGATCATTCGGACAATCCTCTGGGTGCTGCGGTCACTCTGGCCCATGAACTTGGACACAACTTTGGAATGAATCACGACACACCAGAGAGGGGATGCGGATGCAGAGTGACAGTGGATCGTGGCGGATGCATTATGACTCCTTCCACTGGGTAAGACACATTATTTCCCTCTGCAACGTTACAATTAAATCCACCAGATGGTTGGTTCCATATTCTCCGAAAGCATGAGAAGTTTATCATCACTTCATGAAGTTTAAATAATTCAGCAATGCAGTTCTTTCTCAAAAGCTCCAGATTGTGATCTTAGCTAAATATCATTACACATGCACTCCATTTGTAACTTAATGTCTGTTGAGTAGCAAACAAACAAAGTTGAGTTTTGTGCAAATTCAACAGCTGCAACATTTATTTATTTATTTTTTATTCTAATATGGTCTTAATGCCAGAAGAGCATTTTGACTTTTGTATGTCAAATAATCTCTATAAGAGCTTAGCTCTATCCAGCTCAGAAGTGATCAGTCTAAATACACTGCTCAAAAAAATAAAGGGAACACTCAAATAACACATCCTAGATCTGAATGAATGAAATATTCTCATTGAATTCTTTGTTCTGTACAAAGTTGAATATGCTGACAACAAAATCACACAAAAATCATCAATGGAAATCAAATTTATTAACCAATGGAGGCCTGGATTTGGAGCCACACACAAAATTAAAGTGAAATGTTCCCTTTATTTTTTTGAGCAGTATATTTTAGGTGTTGAGCTAGATATGATCAAACGGTTGTCCAGACTACTTAAAAACAGCAGAACTGATCTGCAAAACACACCAAATAGCTCATTTTATTCTGTGACGAATTTGTAATCAGTGTGGAATAATCCGGTCCCGGATCTGTTACTGTAATGTTTAGACTTCCTCAATTATCATCATGCTTCTAGGTAAACTCGTTAGACGGAGGCTTCTTTAGTTCTGTTTTAACTTACAATCACTCTTAGGAGGAGTTCTTATGAACCACCTTTTTCCACGCAACAGAAATGCATGGACTATTTCCTTATCTCAAAATAAGAGTGTCTAACATAGAAATAGGCTGTCGGTCTTAAAGCAGTCACCTTCACATGTGTTCTTAATAATTGCATAGACCTCCCTGCCCAGACAAAGTTGCATGCTGACAGCGATTGCACAGCATTTGCAGCAAAATATAGCATTCTATCATAGAAAGACAAACTACTCATGCATTCAAAAAGTCTAGCATCCTGCAGTTGACTTTGTGGAAGCTTGGGGATGCTTTAGGTGGAAACCTTGGCGTCTGCTGGTGTGTGGGATCCACAGACTGAAAACGTCTCTCCGTATTTTATTTGGACAAGACCCACGAAAAACACAGTAACACCATTCTGAATTATAGACTTTGGGGGGAAAGCACAATAATATGAGGTGTTCAGATTTACATGTAACCCTGACTGTGAGGGCGTTTCTGGACGAGGACATTGCCAAAAATGGCAACACGTCGAACGCAGGAAAACAAAGAGCGTAAAAAAAAGAGAAGAAAAGAACACGTTTGCTGTAGTGTAAATAAAATGGTTTTGTCTTTCAGTAGTTCCTCTGGTCTGTCTGGTTCAATAGTTCTCAGATTTTCACAGACAGTTAGAGTGAAGCTATTCTTTGATATTCATGCAACATTAATGTTTGAAAAATCTCCCTGCAGCTTCAGATAAATAGTTAACCACGTCTGAAAACATAGCCCTATTCCCTTAAACGATCTGGATCGCAGGTCGTACTTAGCACTAATATATCTCACAAAATTTTAGAAAAATCGAGGCTTTGTTGTACTAATAAAAAACTTAATTTTGTTTCATCTTGTATAGTTCAACATCGTGTACTTGTTCAACCATATACTTTGTCTGAGGCAGCGCTGCTTTTATATATGGTCCGACCTGAACACACTCAAGTTACCAACTGTGCTTTCTATTTGTATTTAACCGCTGGAATTTCTAAATCCGTTTGGAACAAAGAAAGCGAACACTCACAGGAGGTCCTCAGCTAGCCCCGAGTTCAATATCTAATAAGGCAGCTGCGCAAATAAACTTAGACAAAGTTGCAGGAATAAACTGTTTGATAAACTTCTCGCTGTGTCACGTTATGCTAAAGGTTCACACGGTACAGAGCAAGACTTATTCCGTAGTAACAATATAAATACGCATCTGAGCGCCACAACAAATCCAACTTGCTTGAGTGTAAATATATCCAACATTTGAGTTTTCATGTCCGACACAAATCAAAACCAGCTTGTGTTGTGTTGTCTCTGAGACGGGCTCCTCTGCAGTCAGTTCTCAATCATTCTGTAATCTTGAGTTCAAACGCACGCACTGCGCCTCGCAAATGTTTTGACGATTTTCACGTTTTGCCAAGTTAATTGTCAAGCTCTAACACATTTTTGTTTGTCTTTTCATGTGATTAATTGAAGTACCACGTAATTTTAAAGTGGAAGGGAAAAGGTGGAAATCTTAAAAGTGTGGCGTGCGTTTGCATTCATCATCGTAGGAGCAGGTCTTTTGGGGGGTATGTTAATGTTCCAGCTTTATACATCTTGAGAGTACTTTTTTTTTTTTTTACTATTCTGCAACATAGCTCAAGCTCAGCAAGACTGGATGGAGAGTGTTCATAAACATCAATTTCAAGTCTTGGCGGAGATTATTTTAGTTTTACATCTGGACTTTGTCTAAACAGTCAGTTTCAGTCTCATCTGACCAGAGCACTATCTTCTACCCGTTTGCTGCGATTTCTACATGTCTGGTGGCAAAGTGCAAACTGGACTTCACATGATTTTATTTAAACAATTACTTCTTTTTTTTTCTTTTTTTACAACTACTTCATAGAGGCCGTATTTGTAGGGTGCACAACTAATAGATGTCCTATCAACAAATTCTCCAACCTGAGCTTTGAATCTCTCCAACTCCTCCATTGTTACTTGCTACTCTACCCACCTCTGTCCTTCTGTGGTCTATGCAATGAGATCCAAAGTCTAGATTCTTTTGTAACTGAAGTGGGATTTTGGAGTGAATTGGTAGGGTCAGGTGGTGGGCGATAAAGTTGTTGCTTTCCCCACTTCTTTCCATACTTCCAGTAAGGCTCGCCTCCATTAACTCTAACCAAAAACAGACTTGTGGTTCTTATACTTTGAGATTATATCTCCTAAAAAGCCTGAGAAATATTCATACACACAGAGAGCCAACAAACACGTTATGGTCCTCTCCATGGACACAGAAACACAAATATGTGCAAGGGTATACACACACACAAAAAATGCGTCTCGTTTATAAAACTAAAACAGGATCTCCATATTCCCGCCGTGCTTTGTTCATTTTTCTTTTCTTTTTTTTTCCCACTACAACGGCTCATTTCTCCTCCAGGCGTTGAATCGTGTTTACAGTTACTTTGACTCATTGTGTCTTCTTTAATAAGAAGACACACTGGATAGACGGGATTGCCTGATAAGAACAGACAATACCCCCCCGAGTTAAGGATCTGCAAACTCAAATAATGTGATATGAAGCAATAGAGTTGCAAGGTATGAAATATTTATCTTTTTATTTTTATTTTTTATCACAGTCATATTAATATTTAGTATTATTTTCCATTAACCCAAGCTGTGTTTTTTTTTTTTTTATGTCAAAAGCATAGTACAGAAAAATAAGGTCATATTAAGTTTTTCACTGTTTTTATTCTTACTTATAATGACCTACTGGATCCAAACAGACAGTCCTGTCTGATAAACTTGTGTTTGTCGCAGTTATACTTGGCTTCAGGGGCAGTTTAACGTCTGACAAAATGTGCTGTTAGTGTCGCCATCGACAGAAAGAAGAAAATATTTTTATGTTTAACATGTGATGACATTTCAGCTTTAATTATTATTATTATTTTGACTTTAAACACATTAATATCTGCACAAACTAGGCAGAAATGAACAATAATAAAGAGTAACTGATAACCCATTAATAATAACATTTTGAGTATACAGTTCCATTGTAAAGTTTACAGAGGTCCAAATTGCACATCCAGGCCTAAGCGTGTTCACAAAAGTTTGGATAAAGGTCTTTTAGGAAGTTTGGAGAGAAACCACACACACACTTAGCACATTAACAGGACTGTATAATTCTGGCCAGATATTTGGCAACACTAGTCTTGGAAGTAACTGTCCTCCCTCACTTACAATCAGAAACAAACTTCTTAGTTTATATTAAAAAAATAAAATAAAAAACTTTAATTTTAAATTTGCACAGTTTGTAAATAACTGTATGCAAATTTGTGTTTTGCTTTTTATACATTTCCCCCCTAATTGTACAGACCATATGACATGTCAAAAATAGGAAAGATTTTTTTTTTTTATAATTATCTCAATTTTTAAATCTCACCAACCACTGTTTGTCCATTTACTGAATAGTATACACTCATAATACTAGTCTGAAGCACCTTTTCTTCTCCAGTTCATTTGTATTTTTTCACTCAGCCTTTTCTTTAAAGGCATGAGGATCCAGATTCTTTAGAGATGCCTCCTTATGAAGGGAGTAAGTGATTGTCTGCTGGAAAACAGTAAACAGTCTTCCCATAATTGTAAAAAGCCACATTGCCCGTAACTATCCATCCCTTTTTTATGACATTCTAACTGATTGAGAGGTGTTGACATGCATACAGATTTAATAGACACATGAAAAACAGTCAATGGTTGTTTTCAAAAATCACCGAAGCAGTCTTATGTTTAATCATTCACCATGGAAGAGTTTAAATGCATGAATAAAAGCTAAATGCTAATATGTAGACTTGTAACCTGAAATGTATATTTAAATTAACTATGACCTTTATGAGAATAAAAAGGATAGCTAGGATTTTCCCCTTATAGCTTTAGAAAATGGCTTGTCAGAGGTTCCATCTAAAATATCGTTCAGGTCTTTAGAAATTAGCTGTGGGCTGCAAGATCTCTGAAAGCCTTTAGGTCTCCTGCATTAACGCAGCGTGGGACAGATCAAACGCAGGTAATATTAACTGGAAATGATTCCTTATCATAGACCTCGCACAGATCTATTGAAGCCTTGGCTCTCTGTTGCTGCTTATCCACAGAGATTTCTTTGTGCTGTTGCTCCTCTGAAGCTTAAAGGCCAACTGTCAAACACAAGCTCTAGGTTAAAGGTTGAAAAACGACTGCAGACGACTAGAGGAGAATCTTAGCCCTATATAAAGATGGAGCAGGATGAAGTGGAAAATAAGGCAAGACTGTCAGACAGAGCAAAGAAGACACTTAAGACTCCTGGCAAAGGTGATGGCTGCTCATCTATAATTGAGAACAACGTTGTAAAAAAATAAATAAATAAAAATAAATAAAACAAAAATGCTGACATCATTCTTCATCATTCCTCATCGTGGTGGTAGTCCAGAGTGTCGTCGGCGACCGTAGAGCTCCAGATGTGCCAATCTTAGCTGGCACTGAGTGTGTGCTGGTGCCCCTTAGGTCTACAGCTGCTAAATGCCATCCAGTGTCATTCGCCTCTGCCTTTGCCGTTTCTCAGCCGTTAGTCATCTACTTTCCAAACACCAGCCTTACTTTTCCTGCTCATAAACAGCAGCTGGTTCGCTAACTTCTTGAGCACTTCAGAGCTACTAAAAACAGGGGCTGGAAGGGAAAGCAACGATGTTAGTGACATTGCATGTGCTTGTAATTGAAGCTTTGAGAGGTGAGGAGGGGGTGAGTTCATGGAAATTGAATGATTACAGCAAAAATCCAGGGGTGGGTTGCAGCCTAACCTAGCAGGTTTTGCCTTTGGTTTTCAGGGCAAAGAGGAAATCACAAACGGCGGTTTCTGAGGGAAGCGGCCTTGCCTTGTGACGGCTGTTCTTCCTGAGAGGAGATGAGAGGAAACGAGAACACACATTATTGTTGTTGTTAGCAATGTGCTCATTGCCATCCAATTTAGCAATTACAAATCCTCCTGTGATCTTTCGCTTTAATCCAGAACTTTTGAAGATGCGCTTTGAGGGTAGCTGACATTCACCCCAGCGCTGGCTTCAGTCAGCGAGGGGTGGGCTGGAAGGGAGACGTGGGTTGGGGGAGGTGCTGTGATGGTCAGCGGTTGATGTGAGCCGACTTGGCACATCAAAGCCATGTCAGGAGTGAGGTTGTGTCGGAACATTCACGGTGTAGTCATGACATATTTAAAACGATACTTGATGTGAAAAACTCAACAGAGAAAAACAAAGTTTGAAAGGGTTGCTATAATTGAGCAGCACATAGATGTCTCCTCCTTCTTGTACACCCAAAAAGACTCAAAATGGAGGTTTTAACAACTCGTGTACCTGCGCACACAGCGCATCTGGGTGTAGGCTCGTCGCCAACTCAACAGACTGATTTAAATTTTACTTAATAGATCACTAACTCGACATGTCACAGAGCTAAATGCATTAAAATGGTCTTGCTTTGCGTATTTACTACCCGTTAGGTTGTGAATACACGTTGCCTTGCAAAGATCTGAAGGTCCACCTGAGACGTTTCCACATTTTGTCAGATCACAACCTTAGACTATGCATCTCGTTGGGATTTTTACGCTGATCATCCATCTACATAAACCGAAAACCTGGCTAAGGATTGCCTTAATCCAAGGAGCTATCAAGAGACCAGTGGTAACTCTGGAGGAGCTGAGAGCCACAGCTCAGGTGGGAGAATCTGTTAACATGTTGACGAGCTGTAAACCGTTTTTGCAAAAAATACCATTGGGAAAATGGAAACGAACGCTTTTCGGCTAAAATGAAGTCTTTGATCGTTTTAATGAAAATAAAAGCTATTCCTATGATTATTAAGGAAGCCATAAATAATTTTAAACACATGTAAAATGAAAAATGTAGATAAAAAAACCTTTTGAATTAGAAGCAAACTTTTGGTTGAATAAAAACAACTGAATTCATATTAATCCACAATAACTCCTTAATTAAATGAGTTACAACATTGAATTTCCCCTTTGGGATCAATAAAGTATTTTTGAATTGAACCGTATGGAGGATTAAAAAATGGTCTACCGTGGTTCTGCGGAACTTACTAATAGCCTCTACAAAAAGCATTAAAAAAAGTTCTACCATTTGAGCTTTCAAGCCCAAATACTTAAGAGGTTGGCAGATGTAGAAGCAGTGCAGAGGTATGATTGATAGGATACTTCACAATGTACCTTTCAAAAATTCAAGGGCTCTTTATATAACTCGATGAAAGAGTTGACCTGAATTACCCACTTGCTGTCACTTATCTGTGTGCACAGCTGTCAATGGGAAGATTACCTGCAGATTCCCCTATAATATTCAGCCTATTTCTGAGGGGGCTTTTTTAGCGTCGTTGGAGCAGTTGAAAATCTCATCCACTGCCACGCCGAAAAATGATACGCCACGCATGCTTTTTCTTTTGCATGTTTTAAACATAGACTTTCTGCAAAGGCACTATGCGATCAGACAAAAACTCAATAAAGCTTCAAGCAGTCTTTAGCCGAGATTTTGACTGACAGAGCCTTGGGTTGTGTTCTTTCCTCACCCTCTCTGTCTGCTCCAAAAAGCAACATTAAACACAACAACCATCCCAGTTCTCTCATATTTCCGTGCGCCGAGAGCCCAGCAGAAAGAAGGTTGAGTTTTTATGATTCGCTGTCTCGTAAAATTTGTATAATCATATCTCCGTCTCTCCGTGGGGAGAGCAGTCCTGTGCTACTTGCATGCTGATGGAGCTTCAGAGAGGTTTCTGAGCCCTGGTGGTTAATTGATTTTGTGATTAGCGGTAATTGTCGCTGATTACATCAGACTGAAGAGGCCCCTTAAGGGGGGAGGGGGGAAGCGATGGGCAGGGCCGGGGGCGGGGGGGGACTTGAGTCATCTTCTTCTTCAAGCTGTGCGTCTTTCACGTAGCATTTCTCTCACTCGCAGGTATCCCTTCCCAACCGTGTTCAGCAGCTGCAGCAAGAAGGACCTGATGGCAAGTTTTGAGAAGGGAGTGGGGATGTGCCTGTTCAACATGCCGGAGCTCAAAGTGCTCTACGGCGGGCAGAAATGCGGCAACGGCTACGTGGAGGAGGGAGAGGAGTGCGACTGCGGGGAGGTGGAGGTGAGGGTCAATAAACGGAGTTTGCATCTCCACCGTTTCTCTCGTGAATCGCTTTTAATTGCTTAGCACGCTTTCAAAAAGAAGCATCAGGGGGCGGTTAAAACCGTGACGGAAGGTGGCGAAAGCCAAATCTCTTTTAGCAATGCAAACACATTCTCTGGAAGATGAGGCTAAAACTATGAGTAGGAATTTATACAGTCTGTGCAACAACAACGACTGAGGGAAACTACAGCCAACAGCTTCACCCTGTAAACTAATGAATTACTGAAGTGGATCTACGTCGGCATCCACATGGTGATAATTGTTGCTGAATGTTAAACAAAATAAAAGCTCATACAATTGAAAGCGATTGTTACCCTGAGGTTAAGCCTCCCTCTTCAACCATTCATTCGCTTTTCACAGAGCACCAATTCCTCCTCTGGCCCGTAGCATGATGCTGACACTTCTATGCTTTTCAGCTCGAAAAATGTCCCTTAGTTTGAAAGTTGCACTTCCGCCTATTCAGAAATGCATCTTGCCATGTGAGAAATCGAAGCTATTTTAAAATAAATACCGTGTTGTGAAAACGTATTTGCCCACCACAGTTTCTTATGTTTTTTTTTTTTGCTTTCGTCACAGTTAAATGTTTCCAGTTATTAGACACATGAATGTACAAAGGGCTTCTATTCAAATCAACCTGGATGCCCCTGAACTTAATCAAGAAGTACTTTTCCACTTGTTTGGACAGCTGAGGCAATAACTAACCTCTGTGTCGGGCCAAACACTCCCTTCTTCCTGTTAGCTCACTTGTCTTCCTGCTCTCTCGACTGTGTACCTTTACACATGATCTGCAGCCTGTGATTTGGGACCTCTGGACTATAAAATCTTAAAAAAAAAAAAAAAAAAGCAGCACATCACGAACAGATCAGAAACAACCACATTGCCATCTGTTTGGAAAAGCTTACTAAGTCCTTTCTAGGCTTCAGGACGTTAATGAACCACAGTGACATTCATTATCCACACATAGAGAAAACATGGAGCAGCGGGAAGAACGACACAGGGCTAAACTGGCATGACCAAAAGGGGAACCCCAAGGTCCACCTCTCAATTCTGACAAACATCATCTGTATGTTTCTCTTCACTTTTGGAAAAATATTATGTGGGCTGATGACAAACCTTTCTTACTGCATCTGGTGTAAAACTAACTCAACGCTTCAGGAGCTGCTTTTCTGATTAGGTCATCCAGGTCAAGTTGACCTGGATGTCGTTGATGGAACCATGAATTCTACTCACTACCGGAAAAATCATGGAGGGAAATGTCAGTTCTCTTGTTGATGAGAGATTTTGGGTTGTTGGAGCAGAGCAGTGATGTAAAACACACCTGAACGTCCACCTCTAAGTGGCTAAAAAAAAAAATCGAAGCAAAATAAAGGTTTTAGAGAGACCTTGTCAAAGTTTGGGATTAAATTCGGTTGATCTTTTTGTGTCATAACAAAAACATTCATCTATCACAACTAGTCAGAGTGACACGAGCAGTTCAGGTATAAAGGGCTCGTTTTCACATGTTTATTTTGATCTTTTTTTTCCTGTCATAGAACAATTAATCAAAATTTTTTTTGTATTTGTTCAAGTTCTCTTTGCCTTATACTGAAGTCTCTTCAGTGGTCTGTGAAATATAGACATGAACAAGTAACAAAAAATGAAATAAATAAGGAGGCAAGTACTATTTTTCAAAATTGCAAACACATTCTTTAGAGGACTGGGTTAAAGATATGAACGGAAAGTTATTCATTGTTTAAGTGGACCTAGTACCGTAGTAACGGTTGCGAATATTGCTTGCAGTTGCAGGAAGCGAACAGAGGTAATGCAATTAGCGCAGACGGGCACATAAAGAAAACATTTATTCAAAATTTGAAAGGATGATTTGAGTTATGCAACAGCCTGATGAGGGACAACCTCGTTGTTGTTTGAGGTCCGTTTTTAGCTTTGTTTTTCTGGGCTGTTCATGCTTCAGCCAGGCTTGAGCTGAACGTGTCCTTGTCCTTCAAAACAAAGAACGACCAAAACACAGCCGTCCTGAGCCAGCAGCGATAATCAAACCCTCTGTGGAGCCGAGCAGCGTTGCGCCAAAACCAGGCCAGATCCGATGACTCAGACAGCACCTCTCCTCACAAATAAAAAGCCTCATTACAAGTCCTTGGTTCTTTTCCTCTCAATCACAAACTACTTCTTTTCTGCCAGACTCCTCTGCCTCTTCTGGCCTCTGGGGCCCTGGGAACGCCCCACCCCCCCCTTTTTATGGTTTGTTCAGCCTGAAATGAGTTCTGGAAGGACCATCATGTCAGCATTGTGTCCCCTGCCAGCTCCATCCGTCTAGTTCCTTCTGACTCTTACACCACTGACGCTATGATAGCAAAAAAAGGAAGGAGCTGGTCCTCGGGGGGGGGGGGGGGGGGGGGCGCCAAATGTTTTTCTTGGTGGGGAGAGTAGATTACCCTAAAAATATTTTTT